AGCTTTTTATGCCCAAACTATTAATCCAAAACACTTGTTTTATTATCAAAAGATAAAAGCTATCTACTCTTTTGGTAACAAGAAAGGCTAATTATAGTCAGCTAGAATAAAGATTCAGATAATCAGTCAGTATCTTTCCCGAATCAAGGAGACAACTTTAGTAGGATCTTACTATATATTAGAATATCAAATGAATCTTATTAGAAATTTTATAAAAAAGATAGCGGCAAAGTAGTTTCAGGAATAGTAGAATAAGCATATATACAATCAGATCACTATATTCTCTAATAGATTAGAACAGATCAATAAGAATAATAGGCGAATAGGATATAGATATATTATATATAGAGGATAGATAATAGTATACAAAGAAAACAATAGATTGCATCACAACTCTTATATATTCGATACAAAAGCGATTAGAGTATACCGAGACCTCCAAGTAGCAATCAGAAATATTATTGGTATAAAACAAATGGAAATCTGTATGTATATTAATAGCATATCAGTAATATAGGAAATGAAAGGTACAGCCTTTATTATATTGCAATAGACTTTCCTTAAATATTATAAACTGATGTAAATATATTCAATCCAAATCAAATAGTTGTTAGGCTATATAGGGATTGAAGAAAATAAGTGTATGGATGTATTTACTAACAAAGGGATAAGAAAATCAATTTCAAGATATATAAATCGATCTATAATAAGCAATATCCACTTTATAGCAAAAACTGCTATAGAATCGGCAGTACAAGTATGGTAAATTAAACAAATACCAATACTCTCTAAACAATATCAGAAATGGGATTCAAAAAGCATAAACAAATATTTTAAGAAACTAAAACTCTTATAAACAACTCTCCACTATATACTAGCAATCCACTTAATATATAGCAATTTCGAAAACTATTATTAATAATTTAAATACAAAAAAGCAATAATCTACTATTTATACGAAATATTCAAATCCTCCAAGCATATTATATATTGCTATAAAGTCCTTGCAATCTATAAAACCTAGTCCCTAGATATCAAGCTCAAATACCCACCCTGTAATTAAGCAACTTAAGAACGACTACTGAAACAACTAATATATATATCAATCAAATTCGCTAAATTCATTGTTATAATAGATTTCTATAAAAGTATATACCCTAAAACACTATCAGAAGAATAGAAAAAGAAAAGGAAAGGGATCGATTGATCCAGGCGAACATAAACAGAGAGTAGGAGGGAATAGATCTAGAAAAGCTATGTGGAAGAAAATTGAAGTATACAATATATTATATTGCAATAGAATATATACAAAAGCTACTCTTACAGGATAAAACAGCTTTCAAACAAATACTATATAGGAGATCGGAAATATGTATGAAGGCATTCAGAGGATCGAAGACAAAGATGCAAGTACACTAGCCATCGCTTAGGAGGTTACTGAGGATATTGAGACCCCATCCCTAGGAAAGAGGGATCATGTAAACTAGAAGATCATCCCGCAGTTAGCTCAACCGTAATGCCCCCTGGGAGGCTCGCTTATACGGCCCGGTTGAAAATTACTAATAATAATAATAATAATAATGTGAATATTTGTTCGACAGATAGGTGATTTTAAATTATTTGTTATCTATTCGAGAAATAAATATTTTCATATTAATATCTATTCGACTTCACTTTGATATATTAGTTAATTTATATATACTTTTGAAATCCATATATAAAAGATTAATTTCAGTAAGCGTTTAGTATTTACTGAAATTCAAAAATACTTATATATTTGAATTATAATATTCTATAAATAACAAACTAATAAGCATTTATCGATAACTATTCGATAAACACTTATTTATATACTAATATCTATTCGACTAATATTATACATAATTAATATAATATAATATCGTATTATTTTTTATAATATATTCTTTAGATATATAATATAGCCTCCGGATTTAAGCAGATCCGAAGCGACTCACATGTATTCGATGCAAAAGCAATAGGAGCATGGCGCGGATTAGAGTATCTAATCATTATGCTTGAAGATCCCTTGAACAGCCGGATCTGGATATATATTGATAATACATTAATCATCTGGAGTATATACAAAAACACACCACCCATAATACAATAAGCCTTCTACAAATATCACAAAGCAATAAAACAATTCGATATTAGAATAAAGTGATTATCTAGATATATAAAGATCGAAAACAATAAGGAAGCAAATCGCTTAACAAACACAAATACAATTGGGCTTATGGACTAGATAATCAACAAACTACTAACAATCAGTGGGGTCCGAATGATCGTCTATCAGAAATGCCTATATACAGAATCTATCTAATGGGAAGAGATAAACTCCTCTTTCTTTATTAACTATAAGAAATAGTCTTCTAGATATAATATAAAGAAGCCAAAGGAACTAATTCTATCAAAAGCAGTCTTATATCGATTGATAGTTATGAAAATAGGCTATAGCGATTACGCTGCTTATCATTAGCGATTTGATTATCAAAATAATAAGCTGAATTGCTTATGTAATAGTGTTAAGGAATTATATTATTTCTTTAAATATACTATAAACAATCTAAAGCGTTTAGACTAGCCTCTTATCCTTATAGAAATGTAATCTAACAAGTAAATAATTATATATATCAAGAAACTTTTATATATATCTAGTAAACTTACTTAATTGATTACCGACTTAGAGTTCTATATTTAGATTTATTCTAATTATTAAAGAATCCTTAAAAAGTAACAATCTTTTCAACAAAGCTTGCTGTTTATTTCTTATAAATTCATTACTTAACTAATTATTCGAATATATTATACCTCTAAAAACCGCAAACTCAATATATAATACAAGAGCCCTACTGCTCGACTAAACAAATAGCAATTCATTCTTGCTTTTTTTCCTTTACTATAAGGATCAAAGCCTACAATGAGCCTATCCATTTAGAAACCAAGCTCTATCTCAACAATAATCCGGATTAAATATTCCCTTCTAAAAACAAAAGCAGATCGCACCTGTAGAGAAGCGAATAACCTCTGGCATTGAAGTTAAATTGCTAAATTCGGTTATGACAATCACACCGCTCAAATAGTTCCTTATCTTAGCACATCTAAATACCCTTAGGGAGGTCCAAAACAGACGTTAATTAATATAAATAAATAAATAAATAAATTAGATATAATATAGTTTTTATTTAAGTTTTTATAATAATTCTTATAAAAGATTATAAAATAATAAAGTAAGTAGATTAAGTTAATATACAATCTATTTAGTAATAAATCTTAACTAGAATTTCTTTTATAAGTAAGGATTAACTATATATTTTGATGTCTGATTCTTAATACTATTAGTCTATTCGATAAATTTTCAAATATATATTGATATTTTATTAAGAGACAATTACAAATTTTAGACGGATATCTGTAAACTCCGTTTGTCTATTCGACTAACGATTATTTAGGTTTGATTATCTATTCGAGAAACTTGTAAGCTATTTTTCCCGATTAATACTCTTTACAATAAAACCTTCAAGTCTAAAAAAGATATCAATTAGAAGATCCCTTTGAGCATAACTACACCCCATCTAAGAATCAAGTTAATACTGAGCTCTCACTTACGATAATTTCGTTGAGCGATCCTGGTCTGTATACGACGACGCTCATCAAAATCTGGGATCCGAGTCCAGTCTTCGTTGGAATTTAAACAAGAGCTGTAGGCATTGTTAACTTTTGTGATCTCTATCTCTACTGCTTCGAGCTCGATGCAAAAGTGCTAGAATCCTGTAATACACTAGGCACTGCCAAAATTGCTTCTGGGTGCATTTTGAATGAATTGCAACCGGTAGGAACAGACTGACTTGTCAAGAAAATATCTTCGACTGTGCTTTTCATGGAAGTGCTCAGTAATTCGCTACGAAGAAAAGAAAACAGAGGAAAGTAGTATTGTTGAACCTCATGTGAATCTTATCTATGCAAGTCAGAATGATCCTCTCAATTGGAATTTCTACTGGGTAATGGGGCAGCCGAGGCCTGTAATCCTGTGACCGAAAACTACTGGAGAAAGTTTTTGCAATCAAAACCCTGTATTTTATCCAAAGAATGGGTCGTAAGTTACCGAAGGTTTGTTTTCTCTATCTTCAATATTTGGTTTCTGTTGTTTTGAGAAGGATACGGATGACGTGGTACCTACGATGGTAGGTCCTAAATGTAAATATTGTATTCTATCTAAAGAGCTAGCTATTGTACACAAATAGTAGGCCTTAACTAAGGGCTACTGAAAGAGCTAGTCTCTTTCGCATTTGCTTAGGCTTAGTACAGTGGCCATTGAATTGAAGTCATTCACCTACGTTCATAAAGTTTCGAAATAAATTGTCTAGATCGGGGGGCAGTCTCCCCCACCTCCCTTGAAGCAGCCCTTGGAGAAGACCCTAGCCTGTCGCTATTGTCGGCCTAGCATGGCGCTTCCCAGGTGATGCTACTTCACCATCGAAGTTCTGGGACCTTTTAAAAATGGGAGGGGTAAGTGACCTCGGTATGGTTTAATTTTTGGAATTGGAGCTGCTTGGGATTCCACTAACAATTTCGAAGATGCCTACTCCTCAACAACAGACCGATATAACGCGGATTTATTACCATCCCAATGCTAGCAGTCGGCAAAACGTCTTGGCTATCAAGGGGGCCATTTTCTCAAACAGCATCCGTATGCCTTTGACGCAGCATTCTTTAATATTACGGCAGCGGAAGCCAATTCATTTGATCCCAAATAGCGCATAGCCATGAAAGTCGTCTATGAAGCTCTGGAGAATGCCGGTAAAACACTGAACAAAGTTGCAGGCACTCAGACGCGTGCTATGTCGGTTCCTCGATGAGTGACTATCGAGATGTTGTTGTGCGAGATTTCGGACATAGTCCCAAGCACCATATTCTAGGAACCTGCAAAGAGATGATCTCTAATCACGTCTCCCACTTCTTAGATATTCATGGTCCTAATGCCACCATTCACACGGCTTCCTCATCACGTCTTGTTGCGACTCATCTTGGCTGTCAAAGTCTACAAGGGTGTTGGTACGATTATCAGTTCGGATGGGAAAATGCAACTAAATAACTTGGGATTTTTGAACCCCGAGGGTCGCTCCAGAGCATCTGACGAGAACGCCGGAGGTTATGGTCGAGGGGAAGGATGCGGCGTCCTTATTCTGAAGCGACTAAATAGGGCGCTTGAAGACGGGGATTCTATTCAAGCCGTTATTCAAGCCGTTATTCAAGCCGTTATTCAAGCCGTTATTCAAGCCGTTATTCAAGCCGTTATTCAAGCCGTTATTCGAGCCGTTATTCGAGCCGTTATTCGAGCCTCTGGCTTGAAATCAGATGGTTAGACCCCGGGTGTGATGATGCCTTCAAGCGAAGCATAGGCTGCTTTGACAAAGTACGTTTATACATCGCATGGGTTGGATCATGGGTCAACTCAATACATCGAAGCTCATGTAAGTAAAAATCTAAGATTATCCATAATTTGGAGCAAGCTGATTGGGTATTACTTAAGGGAACGGGAACCAAAGCTGGAGACCCAGCAGAGGTAGGAGCAACTCATCGCACCATCGGCGAGGGAACCACCAAATCGCGTAAGCTATGGATTGGTAGTGTTAAACCAAATATAGGTACGTCAGTTTGGCTCTACATAATATAGCTGACGATGATATCTTATGTACCGGTTTGAGGGACATTAGTTCAGCTCCAACCACTTGGTCGATAAACGATGGAATTTTCTGCTGGGGAGAGATTATCGGTTCATGTCGAGATACATAGTTTGAATGTTGAAAGGATTATTGACAACAATTCTACTTCGAATAGTGCGAGTTGTAGTGGACATCTGTGCTACGCAGATCAGTCCTGTTGACCGGATAAAATCCTTTTTCCCCAGCCCAGTTCCCCTCTTTGTGCCGAAATCTCGCTTGTCAGCCAGTCATATTTTGCATAAACAGCCCCATACAATTATGGAACCTCGAGCATGCATGTCCTTTTCCCCTCAAATCATCATAGGCTATGTCTTCTGGAGCGGCTATTTCCGGAATTTAGTCACAATTTGTCGCTTTCCCCGCAACACTGCTTCGCCGCAAAGGTGTTACTGAAGATTTAGAGTGGGTTGATTTTCTTTTGAATGCCGATGGGATGACAATTTGATTAATAGACAGAGAGAATATACGTCACTTCTTAGTTGCAATTGGAACATATTATCGTCCCTATATTCACAATCACGAGTTTGTGGATTTTGTTTGATGATCTGTGCTATTATAAGTTGTATATCTCTAGTGCGAGATACTCTTATACATTATGTATCAAGGCGATTTGCTGAATACATCGATGTTTCAATCAATCCTCGAGTCAGAATGGTATGAACATGCAACAGCGATGAAGGGCTTGGATATCATGTCCCTCTGTCTCAATGCAATACACCCATATTCAACTGAGTCGGGAATCGGCCAAAGACTTTGTCCAACCTGATCAGTATAACATGCGTGATACTGGAGCTTGCGGGAAGAGTTAGTGTAAATGTGACATGCAAGTGTGAGCGACGTCACCAAAACCCTCCCGTCTGTGATTAGTTCCCAGCATAAGTACAAGACTGGCCTATCACTTCCCTGAACAAGATTTCTACAACAAATTCACACGGTCTATGCGAGTTCCTAGATGGGGGGAACACAGGCGAAGGCAAAAATCGCTCTCCCTGGGCAGCATTTGAAAATGACTTCCGCGAGTGTGAGTAGGAACAGAGATACTGGCTGCAATTTGAGAGCTACCATTGTAGGTTGGTGGGATCCAATCAGCTAAAGAGGTGCCAGATCCGCTTCTTTCCCTCTTTGTCACTTTGTCATGGTAGCAGTACACCCTGTTGTGCACAACCCAGTGTACAAATTGAGCTGTATACATAGCAAGAGCTAGTATACTACCAAAAATTTCTTCATGTGATCCCCGATCTCCTGAAGATGAACCATTACCATTGAGATCGATAGCTGCAGAAAGGGGCTGAGAAGTAAGGTGCTGAGCGGCACTCATTCAGCTCGCAAACTCACCAGCTGAAAAGCAATGCATATACTCCTCATTTACATCCTTACCAAGCACATGCAAGCCGCCTTTCTTAGAGAAGAATCATGATATGGTCACACAAAGCGAGGACCTTGATATGTACTCTGTGATGGATTGAGCAGATTCTATTGTTTCGGGAAGCGCTAACCTTACCCTGAATGCTTTTGAATGCATGTGAAACGCACCACGCAGTGTCGTAATTGTACAAGTATCGTAGTCCAACCTTCGGACTTGTTTGCTTCGGAAGAGTACGAATCATTTGCATTTTATGCCGTCAAACGTTACACGACATCGTCAAGTCCTTTTGATCTGCGCGTACTAGGATTTGATCGGGGTTTTAATTGCTTTTCCGGCCAGATCAGCCCCGCAGTGTGCGCCATAACCTAACCTTGTAGATCCCTTCCCTTTGCTTAGAAATTGAGATCTGAATAATCTCTCCTCCATGTGATTGATCATATCTAAGATCTCTCTGCAGCTAAGATAGCACACACTATCGCATTGTGCATATGCAAAACTAATGCATTTCTACGTTTTCAATCGATAGCAGTTTTGTTTCGGAGACTTCCCCACCGTACCCGAGCCACCCCTACCTCTTCGTCACATTCGGAAGATCTATGTAAAATCATCATAACATGGATTTGATAGATATTGTACTGTATATTCAAGCCATTGAAGGGATGATGTGACGTGAATAGCAAAGACACGGGAACGCGCAACGGGCCGATCTTTTCATCATATGTTTCGAGCCTTAGGCACGTTCACTTCGTACAATCCTATAAGAACCAAGCTGTAGAACTGCTTGCTTGTTGTATCACGGGTCAAAGTTTAGTTGCTGGCTCAAACCCAATACATGATCTCAAAATGTTTTACAAATTTTCCCTGTTCCTCATTTTCAATGCTCTATTCTGGACCATCAATGCCAAACATAAGAAGTCATATTACTCCAAAGAAGACCTTCCAACATTGACCCTCCCATGGGGTACATATAGGGCGGAACTTTACGGAGAAGACGGAGAGGTCAGTGATTTTTATATTACTTATGCATTACCCTCTTTATAGCCGGCTGAGTTTTGTTCTCACTGACACCTTGACACAACCAGACTGTTCGATTTTCAAACGTTCGATTTGCTAAACCCCCTGTTGGCCCTCTCCGCTTTGCAGCTCCTCAATACCCTGATGCCATCAAAAACAACAAGAAAATTCTAGACAGCAGTGTCGGCGACAACTGTATCCAAGCCTTTCCTCCTTCTAAAAATTCAAATGTTACTGCTGAGCCTCCACCAGAAGGTAACCAAAGTGAAGACTGTCTTTTCCTCGATGTCTACGTCCCACTTTGGGCTTTGGATAAGAGTAGTGAGGAACAGCTCCCTGTTATTGTCTACATCTATGGTGGAGCCTACATATTCGGTGGAAAAAATACAACATTCAATATACCAGAACCTTACTCTGCATATGACGGAAAAGGTATTCGTAGAATTACCGACAATAGTGTCATCTGGGTGACGGGAAATTACCGACTCGGAGCATTTGGCTTCTTGGGTGGCTCTTACATGGAACAAAATGCTCAACCTAATGCAGGTCTGCATGATCAACGTCTGCTTTTGGACTGGGTTCAAAAATACATCGGTCTAGTCAAAGGCGACAAAAGCGCTGTCAGTGTCTGGGGGCTTTCTGCTGGTGGAGGATCAATTCTCCATCACCTCATTGCCTATGGTGGTGCCAAGAAAGAATCTCTTTTCCAAAGGGCCGCCATCTGGAGTCCATCATTTCAGTGGTCGTATGATCGAGCAGGTGTTTTGCAAGAAACCTTCTCCAGCTTCGCAACAGAAGCAAACTGCGCTGACGAAGATGCTCTCGAGTGCTTAAGAGAAGCTGATGCAGAGACCCTGAAGGTAGCTAATCAAAACGTTGTCAATCAACGCTTGAAACTGGGATTATTTCCATTCGGACCCGCGGTTGACGGAGATCTGGTGCCAGACCTCCCAGCGAATTTATTCAAGCAAGGTACACAAATTTCTACGCAACTGTTTTCATCTCCTGCTATAGTCTTCCAATTTACTGATAGAACATCACTAATCATGAATCTCAGGCAAACACGTTAGCACTGAATCTCTAATAATTTCTCACGTATACGACGAGGCAAGGCTCTTCGCTAACAAGGAAATTAAAACCGAAGCCGAGTTCACAAATTTTGTCACTCTCGCTTTCCCGGGTGATGAACTAGCAGAAGTGAGGCAGAATATCGAGGACAAATACCCATCTAGTTCATACGATAATGACCAACAGACGCGTCTCAGGGCAGTATTAAGCGACTCGACGTTTGTTTGTAACAACTATCAGATTTACCAGGCATACAAGAAGAAGTCCAACGTCTATGCCACACGGTACGAGATTCCACCGGCTCAACACGGTACTGATTTGCTTCCTGTCATTTGGGACGAGGAGGTCGACGTCGCCGGCCTTATTAAAACGATCTTTCCTTGGCTCCCTGTCTGGATCTCCAGATTCCTCGAGAGTATATGGGTGCCTTTAGCTTCGAGATACCAAAAGTACTTTGCTAGTCATGCACTGACTGGTGATCCAAACTATTACAATGGTGGCCGGGCACTCACATGGGAAGTAACAACTGACGATGGTAAAGAGTTGACAAACGCACTGAAGGTCGGTCTACAGTATTCCAATCCTAACCATCCATTCTATACTCTTGGATCTGATGGTCAGGTGGCCGCTGCGAGCTGTGATTTTTGGAGCGATCTCGCAGAAAAGATCATGATCATCACCGGTAATGAGAAGAAGCCGACGAGCTTCAGGACTCAGTTTTATGAGCGATTATGGGGTGGTCAAATTGAATTGTAATCACCACAAAAATGAGGGTTTGAGAAAGCTGGAATGGGGAAGATGGAAGTGAGGATGAGGTAGGATGGGATTTGTCACTTCATTTCTCTAATATTTGACGGGTGAATGTTTCTTCTTGCAATCATGGCAAATTTGAGACAATGAAAAATGTTCTGCTCTGACTATCTGTGCCGAACTTGCAGTGAAATAGTTACAACTGAGTTGATTGATATATCGAAAGACCAACAGAACTAGTTGGCTAAGAAGTGGCTAGGGTGACACTGCTGCAATAGTCTCGGAATCCATGATATCTTTCAATTTTATATTTCTTATCCTTCTCTTTTAACCTTAACGATGGCCAAATACCAATGCCATGCCCGAAAGAGTAATCAAGCTGATAGCATGTAGCTATAAAGGATTCTTGTGGGTTCAATATCATTCTAAGATTACTCTCTTATTGCATGACTATGAACTTGATAGTCTGACCTCGAGGTTCACTTCAATCTCAAGGTAAGCTTACTGGATAGCCCAGGTCTACAAAGAAGTATCGAAAAAAGCAAAGCGAGAACAACTACAAGTGCTCTGCTGTACAAGGATCGGCTGACGGGAGGAGGCAAGGCAAGGCAATGTCACTGGAGGCGGCTAGTCTAGAACTATAGTGAATTAACATCGTAGAACGAAATATCTATTGAGCATGTAAGGAATGTCACTATCAAAATGAAAACATGAGACTACCACCAATTTCGCTTTGTGGCAGCTCATGCAAGGTTGACATCATGTCTCTCAAGGTCTGACCTTGAATTGTCTCACGTATGTACATCAAGTACATGCCCTTACTTTTCCATCCAAATATCGACGTCATTAGATATCACACCTACTTCCCTACCACCACGTCTGTGAAGCATTGGGCCATCCTCATCTACCCACCTCAATCCTGATCCTACGGCCCTTAGTATTGCCCAGCTCTCAAAGGGTCCGACATCCCGAATCTCTAATTCAGACGTGAGAGCCCATCCTCCCCAACCTCTCTCATATGAACAATTCCCTTTCAGAGATAGAACATAAATGAAACGATAAAAATGCCTCTCTGGTACAACTTCTCAGACTGACATATATCCTATCGTAACATTGTACTGAGCATTGACTATGGAGTATAGATATGGGTGAAAGCTTAGAAAGATGTCGAAAACAAGAGAACATAGCAGCAACGGCTTGTTTTGACTTAGAAAAAAAAACCTTTGCTTTGGCGCTCACCTCAATTCAAAAACTGAAGCCCGCAACACGGTTTTATCAAGATGTGATGATGCAGGTTTATGAAAATTTACTTGATGAGTATACATATATTTTAAATTTAGCGTATCCACTAGTTACTGTGCTATCCCGCCTAGCATTGGCATTGGTCGACACCATGGTCAGTTTTTGGGAAACCTTTTCCTGTTAGCATGAGAATGTGTGGGATAAATAGTAAAGTCTGAGGATAAAGATAGACTCCCTTCTTGTTAAATGAAGAAGATCAAGCCCAAAAAGATTTAGGCTTACTCTAAGTGTGATCTTCCTGTGCCTACTGAAAATCTAGAGGATTCGGGTCTGATCTATACTGTGGGGTATAAAACTTCAGACATGCAACAAAAAGCATGTTATTCAAATACACCTTGAACACTAGGGTAGACTATATCTGAACTAGATGACGGAACTATATCAAGTGTATATCTCAGTACAGTTTAAGAATATAACCTCGAGACTATGAACTTTCTAAACTGTAGTTCGGTTGTTGTTCAATATCGGCAGTGAGAGACGGCTCAGAGCCAGACCAGAGTGGTCTTAATCCACTTGTCTTGGGACCCTGGAATGCTTTTAGAACTCAAGCTTGATCTTTGTTGTTGTCATCAGAATCAAGACTTCTTTGTTCTTATTGTATCTCGACTGAAAAGAATCCTCAACCCTCAAAGAATCCAAGGTGACAAACAAAGACTTCAGTGAAATGGATATCACTCTCACAAAGGAGTGCCTGAACAATGGCATTGTTAATTTCGACTTCCCCCTGAAATAACTCTCAATATGTCTGAACTAAAATTGAACAATCCCAACTACCTGTGTATATATATCGACCTAATATCTACTCATACTTATTCTCATCAGTTCCATAGTCCTTTACTTACTACCACATCTACCTCATCTACCACATCTTTCCAGCTCTTCACAAGATTCCAAACACAACGAAATCCAGACCCCAAACAGACAAACCAGCAACCACCAGAATGTCTTCCAGATTCTGGACCTCGGAGCCCTTGACAAGCGAAGAACGCGCTCGTCGCGCCAATCTCTCCAACGCAGAACGCCAATCGGAAGCCCGCGCCGCCCGCGAAGCCTACGATCAAGCTCAATCGGAAGCCCGCAGCGAGACATGGTATCAAGAATCTCCTCCCAGGAGATCCCGAACCCATCGATCCAACGCGCAAGCTCCCCCGACCTCCTCCGGAAACTCGCAGTTCTTCCAAGGTAGCCCTCAACCCAAGAGCGCCAAGCAACAGAAACAAGAGCAAAAAGCCCAGAGAGCCGCCGACAAGAAGCATCGTCAAGAAGCTCGTCGCGCAGCCGAAGAGGAAGCTCGCAAGGAGAAGAAACATTTCGAAAGCATGACCCAGTGGGAATATGCCAAGAAATGGAGTACCTCCGATCGGGCCGCCTACGGCAACGCATTCGATGACTTCTCTGCTTCGGCAACGGCATTCATCAAGGACCACACGCAAGAATTTCCTCGTCTCAAGAAACATGGTTGTGCGCGAAACAACTGTATTCGAGGAGAGATTCTTGGGGTTTGTCATCACGAGGTCGAGATGACACTTCGAGGAAGTGGAGTTTTCGATGAGAAGATGATGAAGAGGGAGAGGTTGAGATGGCATCCGGATAGATGGACTGGAAAGGGAGATTTGCAGATCAAGGCAAACGAACTTTTCCAGCTCATCCAAAGAATCATCGATGGTGATGTTAAAGCATGATTGCTCTGCAATTATGTATTAACGGATCCGGAAGTGAGAATTCGGTGAGAGAACGGAGAGAAGAGGAGTAGTTGAGCTGGTCTCGCTAATAGAGAATCGAAGACAGGTGAGAAAACGAGTAAGCAATAGCTGAGCTGGTCTCGCTACCCACATTCCTTTATAACCTTTCATTTGTTGAAATAGATTTCATTATTTCCTTTGTCATTTATCGGATACGGGTTTCCTTATTCCCTTTGTCTCTCTATCAACTATCAACAACTTAAAAATAAAAATAAAAAACATTCATATGTAAACAGAAATCCCATTTATGCAAATTGTGACTCTCGAACCTTGACCTGATTTAAGAACGAAGTAATACTACCTATTACCATGAAAAGAACCTAATTTTAGCCATCAAGACATCCAGTATACACCTCAATCCCTCAAATACCAACCCCTCACCACCGCAAGATCCCAAACCCCAGACCTCGTCCTCGGAATTGATAAAAAACAGACTTCCATCACCAACTCCCACGTTGATGCTCAACCAACCAGACTCTACCTATATCCAAGACTCACAACCTCACACCCCCATTATCCCCTCCCCTCCTCCGAACTCATAAAACCCTTGCATCTACACTCAAAACACAGCGCGCTCTACCCCCATACCTCCGATAACCCACGGCTATACATACATACATACCTCTCAACTCCATTTGCACATCCATCCACCATCCACCTATTTCTAAGTCTCCCGCAGCTCAAAGCACAACATAAGAAGGTTCGCGTTTCTCGGTATCGTTATCAAAACTTCTGGATTAGTCTTCCAGTGTGAAAGTCCTCGATAATATTTATTGCTTACTGCCCTACTCACTTGAGCAGCACAGATAGATCAACATAGGTGTGGAGGTGAATGAAGGGGAAAACCCAATTTCTCAATGTTTTTCAGATTCATACTAGGTACTTATCTACTCACTGTCTATACTACCTGATACCCACTAACTTCAATTCCACTCCTACTCTCACTCCCATTTCCCGACCCTCTCCCTCTCATCTTCCTTTCTCATTTTCCTGCCCCTCGTTCCATCTCCTTCCCTCCCTCCCTTCAACTCCCTGCCTGACCCTGACCTCCAATCGCCACAGTATAAGATGCAAAAATGTCGCTCACATTCGCATTCGCAAATGCGATAGCTGTAACTGTAGTCGCCATGGATTCTTGAAGCAATGCTGAGCATAAGGTACCAACCAGTTCGAAATTATCCATTCTCTCCCCCAAGCCCCTTCCCTCCCCCACCTTCAAAAATTCCCCTTCAATCCAAATCACAACATTTCCGCACACTCTCCTTCACTTCTACCACAGAATCTCCCCTCGTGCCCATGCATCCCCACTTAGCCATCCAATATCGCATCTTTGAAAATCGCTTTGGGGAATCAAAACAAGAAACACAAAAAGAGTAAACCACCCCTTATGCCACAATGACGGCACAAAACAAAGATAGAATTATTAGGAAATTTGCTCTGTAAGAGTGTGTGGGAAATTCATAAAATTCGTCATCAATCCTTTTTTCTCTCTATCCCCCCACCTTTCCCCCTCACCCCACCCACCATCTTCATCTGATCCCTCCTCTCCTCCACTACCACATCAATGAAATTTAATGTTGTATCGCGTGCCCAGCACAAATTCCGGATCTCAATAAACAATTAGTGCAGATGGAAAAGTTTCAACAAGTAAGTATGAATTTCTTTGATGATGTGTTTATCCACGAATGAATGAAATGAAGAAGAAAAAAAGTTGGCGATCGCTCAGACCTAGTCTTTAAGTCAAGTATGAATCCATCAGCTCCATAAACGCCATAAAACTTGCTTGCTTGTATGCTTAGCTCAATTTACACAGGAAAGAAAAGGGAAAAAACTCCGTATTGGTGAAGAGAACGAATTCCACATCCGTTCTCAAAAAAATTACATGATAACGCAACAACCACAACCTTTGCTTGACTCAGGAGAATCTTGAACACGAATTGGTGGTTTAGGATCTGGGATATTAACACCTTGCGGTTTTCCAGTTGCGATTTTTGGCATTGTGCTATAACTTGATGCTCTCTCCACTGGTGATCTAGGACCTGTACTTAATGTTGGTGATTTAGGAGTCATGGCAGAAACAGGTGAGACTGGCGAAACTGGTGATGGAGATTGTGGGGCACCTAATGGCCATTCTGGAGCTTGTTCTTCTGACTTTGGTTCCTCTGGTCCATCTGGTCCCTCTGGTGGTGGGGAAAATGAATCCGGGCGTGGTCTGTATTCCTGTTGATTTAATGGCCTAAAGTCTGTATCATAAACATTTCCATATTTACCCTCCTTCTCCCATTGTTCTTGTTGCATACGTTTCGCATGAGTCGGAATTACTTGTTGATCGGGAGGTAATCTAGGATCAGGTTTGTACATAGTAGCCAACCAAGGTGGGTCACCTTCAGGTCGTTTCGATGTGTTGATTAGGTCGCCTGAACGAGTTTTTGGTCGTATATCCGGCGCATTTGTTCCACTCGGCTTTTGTTTTTGTCTTTGTGCTGACGTTTGTCTACCTCCAGGAAGTGCAGCATTTGCGCCAATAGATCCTTTCCGTCCTGGTGCTTTCTTTGTAGGGGATCGTTCGGATGGCGATGCACGAGTAGGTGTAGGTGATACTCTAGCAGGAGTAGGCATTGGAACATTTGAAGAAGACGGTGTAGCATCATCAAGTATAAGTGAACTTTTGACACTGTGACTCCGACTTCTTGCTTGCTTAAATGATATTGGGTCCTCCTCGTCATACCAATTGTTGCTTGTTTTTCGAGCTATAGGTGTGTCTCGTTCGAGATAATCGATCGGTATTGGTAGGGGACTCGTTTTCGATATGGGTATCTTCGATATACCTTTCGTACCTAAATCTCCAGCAGACTCTTCAGGTAATCGTAAATCCCACGGATTGCCTTCTCCATCCCCATTCACCACCATCTTCTGCCTTTTTTGTCCCTCACTTCGAATGGCATTACTGGCATCTTGACTACGATCCCGTCGACTAGATTTACTTCCTGCTCTTGGACGAGGTATCGGAATTCCAGCTGCTTGTAATTCTTCATTCTCAATTCGGGCCAATTTATCTCTGTGAATCCACCTAGAATGTTCCACCTCATCCATTTCGTACGCTCCACCGTTCATACCTTTCTTACCCCCAGAATCCATACTTCGACCACCTTTGTTATTTCCATATGAATCCAGTAAACTATCAGGAGCACTAGGAGTATCGCTGATATCACTATTCTGTCGATTTAATTCATTTGCGCGAGCTGGAGCCAAATGGTTATGATCGAGGCGAGGACCAAAGGTTTCTGTACTTGGACGTAGTGAGTAACCGTTTGTTTGAGAAATTTGTCGATTGTGATTATGATAGTCGGTGACGGCAGAAGGTGAGGTCGGCTGAAGGAAAGTTTAATTAGCATAACAACTTTAAAAAAGCCGAAGATAACCATGAGACTAATTTTTTTTACCTCTACTGGCACAGAATAATTCCAAGAATCTTGACCGTGAGAACTACTTGGCGGTGTCAAGCTGGTATGGGCTTGCGATGTAGAAATCGTTGCCATACTGATTCAAGACCTTTTACTCCAAGATTTGAAGATCTGCCGAAAGCGACCTTCCCACCCTAAGAGTGATTCAATTCTTTCCTACCAATGCTTTCCAATCAATCTTCTTGTATCCGGATTTCTTTTATTATGATTGGTATGAATGAAGTTGCCTTGATCTCTTCGAATTGGCGGGAATGAAAGGTCTCTTTCTTCGTATCTTTTATTAATGTATGACAAAACCAATTCAAATTACAACAAGACTTTTCTTGAATGAATTCTTAATACTCAATTGTTGAATAGATCCTTCTTGATCATCTGGGTTGGTCGATAGGAAAATAGGAGAGACTTTCTGTATGTAATAGGTAGTGAATGTAGTGGACTGGTGAACGTGCGTCTGCAGTGCGGCAGTGCCAAACAGAGACACAACGGCGATTATACCGACCAATTAAATTATTTAATGAATAAGTAATACCGAAATGAAGATAATTGAAGCTGTTGGTGAATGGCCGCACTGAGACTTATGACCATTGACCGGTCAAACACAGTTCTTTTCTTCCTTTCGCCCTCTTTGTTGGTGAGAGGGAGAAGAGGTTTGAGAAGAAGTCGGGGAAGAAGTTGGAAGAGAGTTGGAATAGAATACTCCGAACGGTTAATGGGCAAGGTACGACTAGGTAGGTAGGTAGCTGGAGGTACCTAGTAGATCGCATGAACGGGTAATTTGAGTGAATACCGTACCTAGGTAAGTAGAAGAATAAAGAATAATGAATAATGAATAATGAATAATGAATAATGAATAATGAATAATGAATAATGAATAATGAATAATGAATAATGAATAATGAATAATGAATAATGAATAATGAATAATGAATAATGAATAATGAATAATGAATAATGAATAATGAATAATGAATAATGAATAATGAATAATGAATAATGAATAATGAATAATGAATAATGAATAATGAATAATGAATAATGAATAATGAATAATGAATAATGAATAATGAATAAGAAAAAATGAAGCTATCAAACTATACACGGAAGACTGCCTACTTTTGAACAAGGGGAAGAAGAAATCATGATAAATAATCTTAAGTCTTGCGAAAGGAGAGTTGAGGACGGAGTACCTGGTAGCTTTTTAAACATTTATATCAGCCCGTCCTAGTATCATTCATTCATTCATTCATTCATATCGTTCATACCAAAGTCCAGTTTATGCAGTGGATCAACGAATGAAATGAAAGACTCTCCCAAATGCTAGGTACTGGACCAAAGAACTCCCAAATGGCTTGAATGGGTAGAACAAATCATCGTGACCCAATGTGCCTATTTAACTGTTGAAAAGCGGATACAGACCAGGATTGGTATTGGTTAGATATTTTGGCAGGTGGTCGAGAAGGTATCCGACCGGTAATTTGATCTGTGTTCAATAAAAACAAACTTTGAAGTACCCTGGTTCCTAGTCATCCTTTTTTCTCCGAATGTCAATGTTCACTGTCTATCAATGCAAGAGAGAGAGTGTGTGTGAGGTGAGGTGTGTGAGGTGTGTGAGGTATAAGATGTAAGGTTTGAGGTATGAGTGAGATGTGAGTGAGGTATGAGTAAGGTACGAGTAAAGTGTGAGGCGACGAGGCGAGAGGCGATGAGGTGACGAGGTGGGAAGAATAAATCAAGATATTGATGAATATCATTCTTAGATGTTGTCTATGTAGCACTGGGTAGAATCCGGGTTAGTCTTAGTATGTATAAGGTAAGAAATCAACACATCGAGGCAATTTCGTCAAATCAACCCAATGGATGGATTTATCCTTTTTCCTCCCTTTCCAGCCTTGTCTAGAACGTTGGTCTTTTCCCTTGTCCATCAGACCAATTATACATCAAGGGAATGTGTCATTAATATATTATTACCTAGCTGACGGGTAAGGCTACTACCACCTTCTTCGTGCCTTCTCTCTCCCGATATTCATATCATTACAATCCTACAAACTACTTCGTACAGTACCGGCCAGTATATCTCCCTACCCAACACTTATCTTCACTCACCATCATCGTACCCCTGACCTGTCAAAATCCTAACTCATTCATCACCAGAGACTCAGAGAGGGGTACTTCATATAGATAGCCCAACATGGTTAATCCCTCCTATGAACTCGACCGTCTAACATATGAACCTTCTCATCACTCTCAAGATTCATGTACTACCTCGTCATCATATGAACCTCCAAATTCATACCTTACTTCATCCTCTCCGGAACCTCATATACCTATCATAACTCGAACTACTCGTACTCGCAAAACCCGTTTCGTTTGTGTTTCCGATACTCACAATGGTGTTGCAAATGGATCATTCAAACTACCACCCGGTGATGTTCTCATTCATGCAGGCGATTTAACAAATCAAGGAAACTATGTGGAATTAGAAAAATCAATCAAATGGATTGAAGATGCTGATTTTGAAGCCAAAATTATCATTGCTGGTATGCATAATATATCCACCTATTTTTGCTAGGGGATCCATCCCTCTACATTCATCAACCCCATAAAAACGTTCTATTTCCATCTTCATTTATTCCGAACGAACAAAATTAAAAGCTAATCATTATGTAAGGTAACCATGATATAACACTCGATTCATCGTTTTACTCCCAATATGGTCTTTATTTCCATAAACAAAATCCACAAGATATCAAAAAGTGTCAAGAATTGTTGGATCGTTCCCCCTCCATTCTATACCTTAATCATGAAGCAGCAGAAGTTTCTTTAGCATCACCTACAGGTCCACATACTACCTTTCGGATTTTCGGGTCTCCTTTTTCCCCGGCAAAAGGAATGTGGGCTTTCGGTTATCCTCAATCTGATGCTTCCAAAAGATGGGATGATATTCCTTTAGATGTGGATATTGTACTTACTCACACACCACCAAAATATCATTGCGATGAAAGGAATGATCGTGTAGCTGCTGGATGTGAATATTTACGTCAAGCTTTATGGAGAATTCGTCCACGATTAGCAATATGTGGACATGTTCATGAATCAAGAGGTGCAGAAATAATTCAATGGGATCTTGGGTCTTCGAACATTAAATTCAAGGAAAATGGTGTAGTTCGTTGGGAAGATCCGGGTAAAGATAATAAAAAGATGTCCCATATCGATTTGACTTCAAAAGGAAGAATGGGAGGAAATACGTTCAAGAACGATGGGGCATTTGGAGATTGGGAATGTCAAACATGTGAATCTACTGCTAGTACCAGTAATCTAACAAGATCAATTGGAAGTGGTCTACCACTTTTACCGGAAGAAAGTACAAAAGATAGAAAGAGATGGCACCGAAACAATTCCATGGCAAGAATGGCAATCTCAAATGTAGCAAAAACTTTACTCGCGATACCAGAGGAGATACTTTCCCCAGCTCGAGGACAAGGTGGAGTACCACCATCTTTACGTTGTGATGTAGAAGCTTTATGTGGAAGACTGGGACGACAGGAGACATGTGTGATTAATGCGGCGTTGATGGCTTCCAGTTGGCCTCATGGAAAAGGAAGGGGAGGGAAGAGGTTTAATAAACCTATTGTTGTGGATATCGATTTGCCTGTTTGGGAGGAGGTGGAATTATGATGCTTATAGATAGCATATGATGATAATGATATTCATGAAATGCAAAGTTTGCGGTTTCATAATGTTGTGGTGAGGTATGTTTAACGTTGATGGTCTTGAACGACCGCGTGGTTTTCTGGCACAGAGGCAGGACGTCTGAAAGATAAGATTGTTAGCATAAGTTCTGCTCATTCAAGTAAAGGGATCTAGGTTGGTATCTGCATGTCTCTGTATGTCAACCTTATCCTACAGGTGTCTCGTCTTGGCCTTAGTAATCCATAAACTTTCCCATCGATCATTTCCCTTGTCATGAAGCAGACTCAGCCGCGATTCCAACCTCCTCCGTAGCCAACCATTAGAGCTTGTCTCGTTCATACACGCCCCGAATGAGATAAGTGTCCACAAATGCCGTCGTCCAGAGGCCGAGTACTTGTGTAAGTATATGCGAGTGCGCAAGCATTAGTGATGCTGTGGATATGAAAATGCCTAGGAATGCACAAGCGGGGTAAGTCAAACGCTCGCAATGAGTCTCAATAAATGATACATTTGAGGAGCGCGTACCTTGGGATAAATAGCAAGGAGAATTCTCTCCATCTCCATGATCAGATTTCAAGTGAGCGGCATGATGTTTTCCCTAATTCTAGTGACCCGCACAGTGTTTTCCCTATTACATGCGGGCGCACATGAGGAGACAAGGGTGTTTCCGGATGAATTGATCAAGTTCTTGACGTTTTGCCATGTAAAGAATGATGGCCCATTTTTGATGGCTGTGAGGGGATCTTGAGGGAGCATCCTGACTTGTAAAATCCTTTGGTCCCGTTGGAGATGTATTTTTTTTTGTATTGGAACTTGTGGCGAATGCTTGATTATTGGTCGCACATTTGTTGTGGTCGAATCAACGTCTTGGTCCTGGGTAATCACTATCCATTATTGTTTGAGACAATATGGATGGATGAGAGAGAGAGAGAGAGAGAGAGAGAGAGAGAGAGGTTTGGAGTGCACTGTAAACACATTAATATCATCCTGTGAGAAGGGAGATACTGCACACGTACCTGTCAGACCATTTTTGCGGAAAAGGAACAAGGGAAACTTCTAAAGTTTGAGGATTTGGCGAGTAAGTTGATATACTCGGTAACAAGCGCTATGCCTCGAATTTCTTGATTCCACCATCCCTGTGGTGGCAGAGTTAATACCTATGTACAAATAAAATGTCAGTATAAATCCCTATATAAATATTTGATACGTACATTATTGAATTCAAACTTTGTTCGTCCCTGACGAAATACATATTTCATTACCGACGAATTTTTCTAGTTCAAAATGACAACCGTTTGTTATTGACATTTTAATAATAGAAAAAAAGAAAATAAAGGCGTTCCAGCTGGAGAACCTTTATGATTTTTAGGAAAGGTGGATGGAAGGGGAGCGAGTGTGGGAGCTAAGAGGAGGTCAAAGAGATGAATAGGAGTTAGGAGGAGAAGGGGAATGAGCAGGGGAGTGAGCGTAGAAGCTAAAGGGTGAGAGAGGTGAATGGAAGGTATTAGCCGAAAGTCTAAAGGGGGGTTTGTTCACAGATCACTCATTTCGCTTTCGATTTATTCTTCAATCAAAAGCTTTACTACTGTACTATATAGTACAGAATGTACTGTTTAAACAAGAATCTTAATCAATTCTAATATATATAATTATATTTTGAAATCGATTATTAATCGAATTCAATACAAGTAAACTTTTTGACTTGTAAATAGCCTTAGGCTAAAACTTTCGAAAATCAAGAAATTTCGAAAATTTCTCTAAGTCCCTTTAAAGCAAAAATTTCTAATCATGTATATATATAAAAGTTAATCACATTAATACTGTATGACCCATTTTTTCAATATAATATTAACTATTGAAATTTTTTAATACAATTGACGAAATGATTTATTCGTCAACCACGGATTCTGCCACCACAGGGCATCTCACTTCACCTGCTTTACCTTCGCTGCTTCAAAGGCTTATTGGACCAAAAGACGATACGGTGTGTTGTCTTGAGATAACAAGGGATCGCAATTTTATTGGCGTGATTGGTGTGCGTCTGAGGATACCTATCCTCAAATATAGCTAAACCAGGCTGATTGAATTGTTTACCCAGAGAGGAACAATGATTCGGTAATCCGGCTCTCTTGACTGATAGTCAATGTACGGTATATGCCGTCCTCCTACCTTCCATATGATTTCCGATTCAGTCTACATGGCTCTTCAAATACCTGATATAATTTCAATGTTTAAAATCCTTTGGGCGTTTAAAACAATCTGTCCGGCTACAGTTCAGACTATAGAACATCAGGACCGGATTGAGTCTGAGATGCGGGGTGCGAGGAGTAAAGATCCGCATGCCTCAAATTTGTGTATTTCCTTGGACGCAGATTTTCATTCAATTATCTACTAGGTAGGTAGGTACCTATGCTAGGGATAGAAGTTGATTTGCCTTTTTAGTTACGTCAATGTTCATATAATCCAAGGGGAAACTTAATTAGTTATCAGTAATGCGGACGAACCATGATGTCTCCAAGGACAGAGGTAATAGAGCTTCTTAGAAACCCATCTTCCATCGTGCATTTCTTGTGCTACAAACTATATCCCCAGATGTATGGGCAAGGATGAGCGTACCGTTTAAGGAGTGCGGGAGGTCGCCAATTATGGAATATTCGGTGTGCATGTGATGGTTGCAGAGGGCATGGAGCCGGTCAGTCAATGAGAGATGTAACAGCAGTCCTACACATTGTCAAAGATGATGACTGCTATCTCACAACATGCTAAGAACCATTCTCGTTCTAGAGATAGGAAACAGGATACTATATGAGATACAATAAGAGAACTGCATACCCAGCGAGCGGAGCAATGACCAGATGTAACAATACGAGCTTCTATTCGTATCGTAGCATTGGACAGAGAACCTGTATACTTTGGGAAAATAGAAACGTTTCGTTCGTGCTTCAAAGCATGATAATCTTCCATTAAGACTTTCTGAGACATTTGGACTGCGAGCCTCTGAAGTGTCTATATCTCAATACCTTGAACACACTTTCCCTGCTGATAATCATGGCCTTGTGCATTGTTTGCTCTGCGGAATGACTGATACATGTTCAATGTTACTGAAGAGGTGTGCTTTTCAATTTGTTTTGGCATACATTATGGTTTGTGATGCTTTTCTGGGGTACGAGAATAGCTCCAGTTTCCATATCATTGCTGTCTTCTCTCTGCAGCCTTGCTCGCTTACTGGAATATCATAGCAACCTCAGTATCCAGCCGACCTGCAGAAATTTTCTCCCACAACATCTCATTTTCATTCAAATCAAGGAAGTGAAGAAGAGTTTCACAATCAGATGATCAAATTTCGCGTGGGACCGAGTGTGGAAAGCTTACAAGCCGTTAAGCCATTGAAAATCGAAGAGCGAAAAGAAATTGTTGATCTGAGAGTTCTGTGCATTGCAAATACGCGCAAATATGCAGCTTGTTTCATGGGAGTTCGACCTTTTGAAGGATTTGGATTGCCAGGTGATGGCTTGATAGTTAAATCCAAGCGCGATTCGACGACCTATCATGACGCCAATACCGGTTCAAACGGAATTGATATCATGTTGGTGGTTTTGCGCCAACATCTAAGTTTTCACCCAGAATTGTGTGTTCCCCAGGATCAGATTACCGACGAGGAGACCGAGGTATACAAAGTTGCTTGGATGAATCTTGGTGAAAATAAGATTCAGGATTGGGACATCAAAAGAAAGCTCTTCAAGTCTGTTCACGGAATTCATGAGCTTCACTTTGATGATATCATGGAAAAGAAGTTCTCATTTGAAGATGCTCTCGCGCATCCGAAGTTACAAAATCTTTTCCGAGGCGCTCACTTCGACATCGCAAGCCACATAATGCTACGAAATACCCCGATGAACCTGATCCAGCTTGGGCAAGAGCCATCGCAGAACCGGATTCTCTTCATTTGTTTAATGAATTGAGATGGGATGGCGTTAAGGAATTGGATGCATTCATTGATAGGCATTTTAAAACTGTCAGATATGGGAACGAACGACGGATATTTTTCGCAGCCAAGCCATGGTTTTTCAAGGTTCTATATGAACCCCAGATGATTATGAGGTCCATATCCGAGCTTCGAAATTTTGAGATGGGTGGAATTGTAACAAGGGAGCTGAAAGTCACTGGCGGTCTAATCATTCATAACAAGGAAAAGCACGTTTACGCTTTATGTGCCGTTGTCAGACTGGGAAATGGGAATGATATCCAAGATGACGTTCGCACATACCACCCTAGCGGCAGAGAGGTTACCCCTCTAGGAACACCCAAGGAATTCGTCGCCAAAGCCGAATATAAAAAATTGGGAAAGAGATGGTCCATTAAAGATGGTGGTCGATACATGCTTTTTTATGTTCGAATTACGCCCCAGCCAGCACCTCTCCCCGAGGATTATTTTGATGAGGATGCTCCCGAGTTTGAACCAAGATACTCATGGGATACATCTGATGTCAATGTGACCGATGTCAATCAACAGAATCGAGGTGCACTTGAGAACACTTCATCAAGTACGTCACAGTCTAGTTCCAACAAGGGACAGCTTGGATTTCATTCGGAACCACGAAAGTTTGCGCCTTCAACAAATTCTCGAGTACCTATGTTTGGTCCCAATTCCCCAATGCCGATGTTTGGGCCTCGATCGAGTTCCGAACTACCTCAGCTTGGGTCAACTTTTCAAGCACCTAAGTTTGGATCTAGTACTCAGGCATCTGGATCTGGGTCTTGCAGTCAAGAATCTGCTATCAATGCAAGAAACCCACCCAAGATGACTCCAACACCTTCTTCAGCTCGTACTCATAGCAGCAGAAATTCGAGAAAGAGAGGTCAAGATGGACTGATGCATGATGATGCCGATCATAGCGAAAACAATGATTCTCACCAATCATCAAAATCAGGTGGTAGATCATCATCCAGACCGAGGAATGGAGAATATTGTAATTTCTGTCGAAAGTCTGGTCATGACGAGAGAGATTGTTACAAGAAGAACCCGGCGCTATCGGCAGCTCGTGGTGCTTCAAATGGACGAGGAAATCATTCACAGCGTCGTGGTAGGGGATCTTTGGGGGGAAGATTTGGGCCTCTCAATGAAGGGGTTGGATCTTCCACAGATCAAAATCGTGGAGATCGAGAACCAGATTCGGGAGGGTATGGATCCAATCGGAATTTTAATATAGGACGGGACGGATGGGTTTGGAAATTCGGTTGAAGTCAGGTTAATTGAGTGGATTTTAGTTGATGTTTGATGAGATTGAAGACGAAGAATGATAAACTAGTTTCAAAAGACGTGAAATGATTTTCTAAATATGATACTATGAAATTAATGAAATCCATTTTGTCTTACTAGAATAGATCTTCAGAAATATCTGATAGAGTATGGTGCCTTACCGCGTTCCTGCAAATTTTTTATGACAGTCACCCCCTTTCCTTTACACCCGCCTCCATTTTCTCTATTTGTTTTACCCCACACCTCTTCTTTACCGATCAGCCTCTAGAGCATATGCTTTTTTTATTACATTTTTTAGTTATTAGGAATGCGGTGAACTCGATTCGCGAGCGTATCAGGCGTTTCAGGAGCCGGTCTTCGTGGTCAGGCCATGAAGTACATATTTCGACTTGAAAGCCTAAAGCTAGTTGTTGCAAATTTTATTGCGTTGCATAGTCTAATATCTACTACTACCGGAGCACCTTCTTGATCGCAGTTGATCGACTTAGTAGGCCCTGCGTACCACACCCCCGCATCACAAAGAAGGGCTGAATAAAAGTATGTAATTATTATCTCACGCAGAGTCTGCGCTGGGAGCCCGTTAGCGATCTCGGCTAGGATGGAAATATGATGTACTAGTTTCAGGTTTTTACTAACGTGTTTTTCTATACTATGCGCTGTTTGTGGATGAAGTTGTTATCGAATCAGACCCCAAGTCATCGCAGTGCTGATCCCATTGCGACTTGGAGGACGGTACAGCTCCGATCCACCCTACATACTAGGTTGGCGTCGTGCTTATGTCTCGCAATGTAAATCATCTCTATTTTCTATGATATGAAGACTACCTTGTTTTTTATACCTCGACGGAAGGTTCTTTTCACATATTTCGCTAGTATAGCCACGTTCTGTCGAAGGTTTGTACATGATCGATAGATGCAGACGTCGTCCGCATCTCCCAGCCGGAGCTTGGGCCCTCTGTCTATGCCACGGTAGTGTTTTGAAGCTGGGAAACCACTAAACGCTAGGTGATTCCCCTTGTCTTTTTGACGCATGTCACCCCGTAGATTTAAAAGGGTTGAGACAAAGAGCAATCATCGATGTTCATATATTTTTGTGCTTCTAGACTCGGTCTAATCTTAATCACGCGCCTAACTTACGATCTTAGAATCTATGGCTCATATAATTCAATTGCATATAGAAACAATTCGATTGCTCCCCTTCCGGAGACATCCCTAATTCGACTGCTTCAAATACAAGGAAGAATGTCATGTTTTGGTATATATTTTTGAGATGTGGAATGGTCGAGTGTATATGAAGATGTCACTTTGAGATGTACTGAGTATTCAGGTATATAGATCTATTTCAAGCCGAAAATCATCATTCAATTGATACTACAATGCACTGCTAAGAGATCCATAGACTCGTTCTGAATCATGCCCTGCCCCCTTTGTCCACATGTACTTCCAATCGCTTATTTTCAATCTCTAATATCTTCCTCTAAATCTCCTCTATCCTCTGATTCTCTTCATCATCCTCGGCTGTATTTTCATCTTCCGAAATGATAACGCCTTCTGAGAGAGAAGAATCGATCTGGTTACCTGGCTGACCATCTTCATTACCCAAATTTCCTCCCTCCATATCGATAATATCACGACGCCTCTTCTTAAGAATCCAATCCTTCTTCCAATCTAAAACTATATCCCTAGGTACCTTCATTGCTTTAACATTTCCTCTTTGCCAAGAATCTTTTGAATCTTCCATTGAGGGAAGATTCTTTCTTGATTCCTTATTCCACATATCCCAAGCTTTGATGACATTTTGTATGTCCCCATTCAAGAGGTGAATCGAATCACCTTTTTCCTTTGAAGTCCTTGTAGATTTCAGAATTTCCTTGAAGATTTTCGTATCCACAAAAGCCGAGTTTTTTGGGAGTCCGAGGAGTGATGTGGGGGAGGCGAGTATGTTTTTAAAACTTAAAATCTGGGCTTGTGTGAAGTATATCTCAGATCTATTCATGACCTCAATAAGACCATCGCATTGCGCTGTAAAAGTCGACCAAGTGTTCATTCCCTCCAAAGTGTTCGGAATTTGATCTCCACATCTAGCCTTTAGGGCGGTAGACAAGGCGTACTTGACGAATTCTTTATCGCCATCAAAGTAGGGGAAACAAACCAATGTACAAAATGATTTGCAGAATGGGATGGTTAGTGAAGTTTCATTCTTGATGAATTTATCCTTATACTTGTAACCTTCCCAATGGTCACTAGCCGCTTTGATTCCCGTTGGAAAAAGATCGAATGGAGCACAATTAAAAGTATCCGTGTCCTCCGCCATAGGGCAAGTTCATAATCATATGTGCAATCCAATAAGATTTGATCTTCTTCCGTCCATTCAGGAGATGATGAGGTGGTAGTAGCAACATGTTCATCCCCAAGTTCAGGTGTTTCATCATCGGAGGGAAGTGCGATGCCTTTTCCCTTATTACGCTTTACTCTTGGTGATGAATTTGTTGAAGATTGATCCGATTTCTCACCAGAAGTTTCGGCCTCGTATAAATCCTCCTCTAAGACCATGTGTTTCTTCTTCCCATTTCCTTTGAATTTGGAAGGTCTAGCTCTTGTGTCGGCGGCGACTAAATTATCGGGAAATTCGTCCGAGTCTGTATCCTCCACTTCGGGTTCTTGGTCAAGTGAGGTCTTCGAACCACCCATTTTCGCATGAAAGTGGATTGTAGAGTGATGATTCGGAATTTCGATTGCTTGGATCCTCCGCCTCGGATCTTGAGAAGGCTGTGCAGTATCCCCTTTGTCATTTTTCGTTGAAGTATTGATATCCTGGGTGTTTGATGATCGGTGCGACAGTTCGCTATTCGGCTGGTGTCTTGGCGGTGCGTTATCCATAGTGAGTTCGAGTTATGATCGTGGTGTATTGAAGTACTTGTATAATAAACTCGGGAGATTGTTTTGATTTGATCAAGAAAACTGCTCGTCGAAAATGTAGTTGCCGAGAGGTTTTCCAATAGATTTTTTATTATCTATTGAATTTTTTATTTTTTTTAGAATGGATAGAGTGAACATACCAATGAGAAAATTAATATTCTCGCTACTTGGAGTCCTCACAGCCAACCATCCCAGGTGATTGATAGCAACTTCAATACACTCGATTTTTTTTAAACAAATATGACGAAACAATAATACAATAGATCTTTTCTTAAAATACATAAAAGTGATAATTTCACTATGCATAATTCTCATACTTTCCTTTACACATACTAATCATGGGCTGGTTCTAATCTCCTCTCACTACACTTGTTGACTAATAGATAGATTTTTTTCCCGTTTCGATTTTTGTTATTTCTGTTTGCATGGATGAATTTATTGCTACGAATACTAGGTTTATGATGCTATAGTCGCACATTTAATCCTAGAGAAGGCTAAAGGAAGTTGGTGAGTTATTTCTCTATTTGTATAAAGGGAGCTTGACTCTATAGATTTTTCATATACATGAGAGTAATGCAGGGTTTATATCTAAATGAGTTGTACTTCTCAAGGGAATGGAAGGAATCTGTAGTCTTGTATTGTGTAGTTTAAGGGGAGAGTGAAGTCTTGAGCTCCTGAGTGGTTGAGGATTAGGGATTAGGGATTAGAAGTTACACTTGAGGGTCAAGTGGAATTACACGCATGTCTTTGCAGGTATGGTTATTGGAGATTCATTAGAAGTGGCAGAGGTCGTTTAGAGAAGGGGGATCGATCATGAATGTATCTATGAGATCCAAAATGTAGTCACACAACTCGAAGTCTCTTATGTTCGAACTCATCCCAGCATTTATGATGAATTTTTTGCTTCGAGGTATCTGGATATTTCCATTAGATTGCAGATCCGGATAATGGAGCTTTTCAAGGTGGGACTGTAGTACAGTCTCTTTGGTACCCTGAGAAAGATCATCAAATCCCGTATTCTTGGTACCATTTGGCCCTTTGGCCGGATGGTAGAGTAAAAATACAAATGGCAGTAAAACGTCTTTCAACTCTATATGTACCTCGTCGATTCAAATATATTGCCGCTACCTCAATCCTGGTATGCGCTTGAACAAGCCTTTTGGAAAACTAAGCATAAAGATAATCCCCTAGAAGATCTCTTCAGCACCAGAGAACCTAAAAGTCAAAAAATTACCTATATAACACCATGAAACACATAGAACCATGCGTTGCCATTAAACCAAGTGAAATGGCATAAGTCGGGTACCCCACTTTCTGGCCACCCCCCTTTTGGGCCACTTTTTATACCAAAAATACATCAAAAATGGAATTTCTAACTTTCTTATTTATGGACAGAATTTATTGAAATTTTAAATATATAATTTGGATCATTTTTAGCTTATTTTGAAAATTTCAGATTTTTAGGATTTTTCTGTATGAGATTTAGAGCTTCAAAATATCGATTTTCAAATTTGTATAGGAATCACATACAAATTTGAAATTTTTATAAAATCTTTAATAACTTTTTAATAAAAATTACTAAAAATAAACTATAAAATTTTATTATAATTTTATAATATAATTATTATAAAGGGTTCAAAAAAAACAGAGAATTTTCTATAAATAGATATTTAGAAGGATACATTCAAAATTGCAGGGATTATTTATATTATTTTAAACTTACTGTATACTATATCTTTATATCTGTCAATTTTTTTGAATTTTTTTTGAATTTCTATATAGATTCAAGTTCAAATCTTTCAAAAAGATAAAAGATTTTCTTTTAGTAATTGTTGTTAAAAAGTTATTAAAGATTTTATAAAAGTTTTAATTTTGTATGTGTGTCACGGGGTGACACTAAGCCCTTTCTGTCCTGTCCTGTCCTGCTATATATGTGAGAGTAAGGTAGAACTTCCAGTTCTATCTCCTAGTCTTTTGGGCGTTTAGCTCAGCGGTAAAGCTTCTGAATACTCCAGAAGTGATCCCGTGACAATGTGATTCCTATACAAATTTGAAAATCGATATTTTGAAGCTCTAGATCTCAATACAGAAAAATCCTAAAAATCTAAAAATTTCAAAATAAGCTTAAAACGATCTAAATCATATATATAGAGATTTTCATCAAATTATATTGTATATTGATAAAGATATTAATAGGCCTAAAAAGTGATTTTTGGTGTGAAAGGGTGGCCCAAAACAGGGGTGGCCCGAAAGTAGGGTACCCGACTTAGCGAAGAGAACATACCTCTCATAAAAACCCTTTGTAGAAAGACCGGCACGATGATTATGTCAGGCTCTAAAACATTTTCGAATGTGTCAGAGGTTTAAGCAACTGAGCAGGTTTTATTTTGATTGGATTTATTTGTGTGCTCTCTAACCTATTGATTGTTAGATCTTGGATTGAAGATTCTCATCTTCCAGTCAGAAGCCTATCCCGGAGATCATTTGTTGAGTAGTAGACAAAATATTATTTCAAGAGATTGAAACTATGCAGTCCTGAGCTACTTGGAAGTCAGAATAGTGTGATGAACCGAATCGGTTGTTCCGGTGGTCAACTAGAAGAAAGAGGCAGCATGTGTGAAGTCTTCTCCCACACCATCTCTCCTCTTTGCCTATTCTTTACCCATTTTTAGAGCTCCTTGAACTAATTTGTAAGCTTTCCAATTTCTTTAGTATGACGGCGCCTTCAACTGCACATTCCAAAGAAGTCGCTTGCTTGCTTTTCGTGTTAAGAGAACGAGGGGAAGAGTGCCTCATCAAAGAAGTAAATGATGGGAAGAGTAGACATAAAGAACACGAGTGACTAAAGAGGCCTTGAAAGAGACAATATCGAGAAATAGAAGGAGAATGGGGACTTCATATTCGGAAAGAAAGAGTCGGAGACTTCAATGAGGAAGTTCTCAAGGTTGAGTTCTTCTCGGAGATGAAGAATATCGATCACTAATACAAGAAACTGTGGTAATTCAAGGCAAAAAACTGATAGAATAAGGAAGAAGAGAGGGAAAGAGTGCGACGAAGAGAAGGGGTCGATATCATTGATCATAATTGTATTTCCTAAGTCATTACTTATCCGAATAAGTCTGCCGTATTGTGCTTAAATCCCCCAATAGTTTCTGCCCTTGACTCATATCTGCCGTACTCTCTTCATGTACATGTTTTTCCTCTCCAAGCTCAAAAGACCAAAGAAAGATCTTGCACAATATCACCGTCAAGATAATCCATATACCACTTCATAATACATCCTCCCGCACATTATATCGCTTTCTCCACCCTAATGCCTATGTTCCTTCACATCTCTCTCCAGACGTGCAATCCAGTTACATCGGCCTAGCAAGAAAATCCTGATATTTCTGTTCATCCTCCCCATGAACAAACATCTCCAAACAACTTTTCAAAGAAGCCTTATTCGAAGTATACTGCCAAATCCTCTCACGATAATCCCAAAGCCAGAACACCACAAACTCCCTCGCTCTCACCAAATTCTTCCTTCCAGCCCTCGGATACTTCTCAAACGAATCCCAATCCCTCGGCTCTGGCCAAATGCGAAACTCGACATTGCCATCGAAGTGGCTCTTGAAGTACACGTTGAGCGCAACTCCATCTCCTGTGATTGTGAAGTCCACATCTGGCGACAAACCCAGTCGCTGGGAGAAAAAGTCGTGTAAAGAGTGTCTTGCCGTCGGGTAGCATGGGTAGGAGTTTGTTGCGGCGGGTACTTCTCGGCTTCGCGGAGACGGTGCGTTTCGGCGAGGGCGACGGTCTTCTTGTTGGTCTCGATTGCTTTGTCCCATGCTTCTACGCTGATTTTTTGCTTGGTGGCTTTTGCTGCGGTAATATCGGAACGAATGAGGCTAGGGGAATGTGTAGTAGGTTGTCGAAATTTATTTGAAGCGTCGTGAGAAGTGGAATCTGTCTTGGTCTCTGCTGCCGTAGTGAAATCTTCGTTGGGCTTGGAGACTATAGTGTGTGAGCATGCTCGCTTTTTTGGAACTTGCTGTATGCTTGATTTTGTGCCTCTGGTTTCAGAAGTGGTAAGATGACTATAAGAGGAAGATGCTTCAGGACCTTCTGCGTCTGGAGATGCTTTTCTCTTATGTGAGAACATCTTCAATGAGGAGGAATCGATGTGTGTAAAGGGTTGTGTTTGATTACGAAGTGTCGAGAGTTATTGTAGAAGTGCTGAAGAGAAGTTCTCGATTGCATTCAGGTTATTTGGCGATTTTTGGCTCATTTTAGTGAATTTTACTGATTCGTAAGGTGCAGGTGGCTTTAGAGGTCTTTCTGATTCACTATACTCTCCACTCACAGCTAAGATTGTGTTCGAAATACTATTAACACTTTTACATTGAATATTGTTCATTTCGAACCAATAAGGCACTACATGTTGTGAGCCACAAAGGTTCGTTCTCTGAACCTAGGTATTCCTTCTTCGATACCTAAAAGTCTAGGTACGGTTCTTTTTATATTCATCCCCCATGAGCCTTCAATAATTCCTGATTCTGCAAATTTTCTCTCGACTAAAGTGCTAGCGATACCCATACGTTGGAACTATTAGTCACGCCCAAATTATGCCATGTAACGCATTCCTAATGTCTAACATCTTCTTGCTTCATGTATCTGACACACTCTGGACTGCTCGGTCTTTGAGGTATTGATTGTAGTAAGAGCTGTTATTCGGGGTTTTGAACCACTCAAGACATTTCCGTAAAGGCTTTTTGGTCCCAGGACTACAATCGTTTCCTTTATAGTACCAAAGCCAAAATTGTACGAAATCATGGGCTCTAGCAAGCGTGGTCTTCCCTTCTTCGGAGCCTGCTGTCATATCCTTCCCTTTTGCTAGTTCGGGCCAGATTTGAAATTCCACGTTTTTCCGAAACTGAATCTTGAAGTGCACATTTAGCAATTCTTCAGCCTCTCTTTTGGCAATTGCTCCGCTTTTATCTATCCACTTGTGGTGGGATCTGCTATCATGAGGGAGAACAGAGACATATGGAAGGACTTTGCTGGATTCACTAGACGGGTTTCTTGCAATTCCAGGCGTCTTGTCATCCTGGTCCATGGTATGATTCCCGACTTCCATTTCTCTCCGGTTTCTTTTCTTGCTCTGGCTCGTCGCTCTCTGGCTTTCTTGAGGAGAGGGTGGCGACGGTGGTTCTAGGAGGCTGTCAAGAAATTGGTCAACAGCTTCAGAATCCGTAATTTGGCGATTTGATTTGTCAGAAGTGAGCTTTTGAAATTTATTGGAAGGATTATCGTCACTATTAGTAGACTCCGTTGAAGAGCTATCTTCAATTCCAGCCCATTCTCCAAACTCTTGGTCCCAATCTCCCTCTACCTTATTCTTCGCGTCCTCATTTTCTTGGTCTCTTTTCGCAAGAATCCAGTCCTTCTTCCATCTCAAGACCTCATTCTTTGATACAGAATTGGCTCTCTGATTTATTGTGTTCCACAAATTATTTGGCTCAGCCCCAAAAGCAATGCTGATGCCCATCTTCTTATTCCATTGGACCCAAGCAGCGATGATATTCTCAAGATCACTGTTCAACAAGTGATTCCAATCCCCATTTTCTTTTGTTTTCTTTGAATGATTTAACAACACAATCTTTTTGAAATATTCCAAATCCACAAACTCATAGTGAAGCGTAAGCTTTCCCCAGATATCGAAAACAATAGGTTTTAGATGCGCTTGATCCCCCTCATCGATATGAATATTAGCTTCTTTGCTTCTTGACATGAACTTTTGCCATTGAATATCAAAATAGTTCCGGATCCCACAGCCCTCGAAGGCTGAATGGGGAGTTTTGTCACCACATCTAGCTTTCAGAACCGTAAGCAAGGCATATCTTATATACTCCTTGTTTTCGATAAAAGGGGGAAGACGAATAATTTCACTAAGAGATTTGCAAAAGCCTTCGGTCAATAATGTGCTGTTTTTGATACGCCAATTTTCTTCCTTGTAATAGAGGCTTTCTCGGTGTTTAGTAGCCTGTTTAATACCAGGTGGAAATAAATCTTGGGGTGCGCAACCGAAAAGTTCTTTCGTTCTTCTCCAAAGCATTATCTCGGCATCGCAGGTCGCTTCCAAGCAGACCTGATCATCATCTGTCCACGTGGACACAGGGTAATTAACTGTATGCTATCAGTCTTGATAATGCTAGATTAGATGTGTAGTATGTACCTATCCCCTTTCCCTTCGCTTTGCAAAATGGGCCTAAATCGCAAAGGTCCAGTTCACCAATGGCCACAAGATCATCTACTCTATAAACCTCTGGCTCACTAACTACTTTTTTGCCCATAGTTGCCGCTTTCAAAGATATAGAAGATTGACCCTGTGGGATGACTGACCTCTGACTTGCGTTCAATCCTGGGAATTCGGGAAAATTCGTGCACCCACCATCGTTTTTTACACTGTTTTCCTCCATCAGACATTCATTGTCCTCAATATCAGTCTCTGTACGCACCCGTTTTGCTGTTTGTTGCGGCGAGCTATGGACTTCACTATTGAATTGAGGGTCGAAGGATGTACTTTTGAGGGTTGGTTTATTTGGTTTCCGTCCACCGAACGGCGACTTTCTTTTCGTGGACATCTTTAGTAATCTCTATTGTTTTTATTTAAAAATGATATAATAAATATATATTTTTGAATGTATATATAATATAGTTCTATATTCATATAATCTACTAGTAGCGAATCACACGATCAAATCACGTGATCGTCGCTTATAAGCTTCTGAAAGCGATCATACGAAAACGATCATAAATAAAGAATATGAAAAGGAGCTCTATTTCGAAGGAATGACCGGATTAGGAAGAGATCTATAAGAGATTAACGAAAGCGAAAAGCTAGATTGAAATAGAAAAAGTATTGTCACTGTGTGGATACACGTGACCGACAAGCGGGTAAGCTAGGCCCTATTGGGCTAGCTTACATATGAAAATTCTGTATATCTTCACTCTGGAAGATCCTGTATTGTAGCTCTTCGAGCTACGTCTTAGTCTACACCCTATACCTACTATTATTAGCACTGTTTACTATATACTTCTGATTCCGCCTGCCGCCCCGTGATACAATTACAACCTTATTGAATTCCTACTTGAAGTTTAGTCTAAACCACTTCAAGAAATCTCTAAACACTTCCACATGACTCTAGAGGCAGCTTTTGTAACACTTATAATCTATAATAATTTCAATCGATTATATTAGTTTGAAGATACTAGAGCTCGTTTAAATCGATTTTTTTTGATATTAGATCTAATATATTCGAAATATTAGTATTGTTTTTATTATAAAATAATATAATAATATATCTTTTTGAATATATATATAATAAAGTTCTATACTAGTATCGAATCACATGATCAAAAACACGTGATCGTCGCTTATAAGCTTCCGAAAGCAACCATACGAAAACGATCATATTTAGCTTCCGAAAACGATCATTATTAGTTTCCGAAAACGATTATTAATAAAGAATATGAAAAGGAGCTTTATTTCGAAGGAATGGCCGGATTAGGAAGAGATCTACAAGAGATTAACGAAAGCGGAAAACTAGATTGGATTGGAAAAAGTATAAAATAAGAGCTTTTTCCCTCTTAATATAGAATAAGAAATTCGATACAAATATACAGATTCATAACAAAAAGACCATTGTTCTCCGTAAGGAGTGGCTGGTTTAATGGTAAAGTGATTCGTGCCCACTTTCCATTATTCATTTCGAACGATGTGCTTGATGAAATCTCTTCATATATATAGGCCGATCCCTATTTTATTGAATCTGTAAAGTAGGATCTGTGGATTCATAAGCTATATCACCGGCTACAATTGCATAAAGGAAGTCGTGATCCCTTCTCTCTCCTCTAGCCCCGACAAGAGGAGCTTCGCTTCACCACCGCTATACCTCCCCATTTCGTCTGAGTAGTTCCAACTACATTCGAGCAATCACAACATACCTCTCTCCTTCTTGGGATCTCGATACCCGATCGCCTGCCTCTAGCGGCCGCTAATCACCTTGCCCCTAAATAAGGTTTTATATAATCAATTACTTTCGCTTTTAGCGATTGCTAGATCGCCTTGCCTCTAATAGACCTCGATAACCCCGGTCATCTCTGTTTACAGTGATTGCCAGCAATCCCCAAACTCTATTTTACTTTCTCTCTGAAAATAACTCTTTAAAAAAAAACCCCGCTCTTATTGGTTCTGAACCCTACCTCGTACAAAGTCTCAAATAACCCCTGGACTACTCAGCATGAAGTGAGTTGGACAGCATTGAACTTGCAAGCGGGAGTGGAGCGGCAAAAGCGTATATAATGTGGTCGCTCGCTTATCATCAGTATTACAGCCATAGAAGAACGGAACGCTTAGCTATACCGGCAATTATATATAAATAGAATTGGTAGTATAGTCCATCCCTAGTACCCCCTGGGAGGTCGTGGTAGGCCTTCAGCCTACCCCCTGGATGTAAAGTAATAAATAAATAAATAAATAAATAAATATACAGATTCATAAATATCACGTGTTTTTATTGCTTTTTAGTTTTTAAACTGAGCCAGCTTCCCATAATTGTGACGATTGCATTATTTAGAATACTAAGGTGAAGAGCTAGAAGAGCTCTTCGAAAGGAAGTGGTAATATACAGGATTGTGACGATTGCATCATTTAGAATACTAAGGTGAAGAGCTAGAAGAGCTCTTCGGAAGGAAGTGGTAATATACAGGATTGTGGATTACATGAGGATCTAGCCGATCCACTAATATAATAGGATCGTTACACTACCCCCCCCTTCTGAAAAGCTTGCTCTTGAGTGTACTAATAGTATTCTAAATACAATTCTCCAATCCAACTATATTATAATCTATATTTTCTACTATTACTAATATCTGGTTTATAGTTCCAATATTAATTCCAATATTGTCTATAATATGATTCGTAGCGTTATTAATCGCTTTACAAAAATATGTGTTTTGCGGTTTTATTATTTTTGTAAGAAAGGCTTCGAAATTAATAGAAGAAGGTTTCAAGAGTTATTGAAAGATAAAATAAGTGAAAAAGAGGAGATCCGCTTGAAATACATCTCTTATCGATAGTATCAATAAAGCAGCGGAAGCATTGGTGGAATACGGATTGGTTTGGTAGATCAACTAAATAAACTGTTTCATTGTAGCATTGATTATACAAGTGTATTAATATTTCGAATCGATTAGTTCCTATAATTTGTGTGCTAGGTTCAGGATTTTTGGATTTATTGTTGATAGAACAAGGAGACTCTAAATGATGTGATAATGAAGTATCAGCTTGTTAGTGGGTAAGATCCGCGAAAGCAGAGCTAGGGAGAGATCTTAATCAGATTGATTGATTGATTGATTGATTTAGTTTAACGTCCCGCTCCAGTCCATGACTATATAAGACGGCTAGGTTCTAAAAGCTTAGCAATGCTAGTGAATATCTATAGTAGATATGATCAATTTTGAGGGAATAAAAACAAATATTGGGGTGCTTTGCCTGATCTCTATTCGGAATGCAAATAGAGATATAATGTTTTCATTCACTAGGATCTTTCCCTTTTCCTTCTTCCCCTATCCCTAATCCTATTAAAGTATTCTGATATCCAATCCTCTTTCAAATTTGGAATCCAATTTGCTATCCCTTCCTTCTATAAAGGGCAAGAGTTATCCCCTCCTGAGTTGCTTTTAGTATAGCAAAAGGTTTTCTTGTTAATAAAATGAAAATAAAAAGCATTACTCTTCTTTTAATTCTATCTTTTTTAAACTAACTCTTTGTATACCTTTATAAGCTTGATATCCTCTAGCCCTTATTAGATGTGTATAGTTGAAACTGTTGAAAATAGTGGGGTAAAGTTGAACCCTAAGCTCTACAACCTATACACAAATCAATTCGAAAAATTCGAAAATTCGAAAATCGAAGGAAAAACATCGTATTGTATCGATACCTAGAGTATAGAATTAATTAAAAGGCAATAGCATTCTCTATATTGTAAAGTTATATTCGAATGGCTGAAAGCTAAAGAGAGAGAAAGGATTATAATTCGAAAAGAGTGGTGACAAGCTCTATATTGAAAAGACTCTTCCAAAAGAAAGAAAAGATTAACTTTCCGTATCGTATCTATAAAGATAATAATAAAAGGCAGATGTTGAATTTAACTGGGACTTCCATAATCTTTATATCCGTATTGTTTTGCTGATATTCATCTTTTTATAGGGATCGCTATTGCAAAATCGTAATATAATCCTTCCTTCCCTATATCTTCCAAAATCCCTTTTCTTCCAATTCTTCCGATTCCATCTGCAATTCAATCTTAACTCTACAGACTCTTGAAAAAAAGCTGGAGGTTTGTAGGATGCATTGCGTACAGATGTTGAGTCTTCGCATCCCTAAATCTTAATCAGAAATCGTATGAATGGTTGTATTGGGAGAGCAAGCATGGAAAACAATAGATATTCGGTAAGCGGGTTAGTAATAAAAAGCTTCGCAAAAGCGATTAAGAGCTTAAAAAATTTATATGACCTTAGTATAATATAACAATTGCATTATTTAGAATACTAAGGTGAAGAACTAGAAGAGCTTTTCGAAAGGAAATGGTAATATACAGGATTGTGGATCACGTGAGGACCTAGCCGATCCACTAATATGACAGGATCGTCACAAGGATTGTGGATTACATGAGGACCTAGCCGATCCACTAATATAACAGGATCGTTATACTACCCCCTCCTTCTGAAAAGCTTGTTTTCGAATATACTAATAGTATTCTAAATACAATTCTCCAATCCAACTATATTATAATCTATATTCTCTACTACCACTAATATCTAATTCATAATTCCAATACTAATTCCAATATTGCCTATAATATGATTCGTAACATCGTCGATCGCTTTACAGAAATACACATTTTGCGATTTCATCGTTTTTGCAAGAAAAGCTTCGAAATCAATAAAAGAAGATTTCGAGAATTATTAAAAAATAAAATAAGCGAAAAAGAGAAAATCTATTTGAAATGTATTTCTTATCAGTAATGCCAATAAAACAACAGAAGCATTAGTAGAACACGGATTGGTTTGGTAAATCAATTGAATAAACTACTTTATTGTGTAAACAAGGGAATTCACTTCAAAAGAATGACTTCAATACAATGGCTACTGTATCAAAGGTATTTAGGCGAATGCGAAGGAGACTAGCTCTTTCAATAGTGCCTATATAAGGCCTACTATTTCCCCTCATTAGCTAGCTCTTTAAATTGAATATAAATAGACATTTAGAGGCCTACTGATAGTGGGA